TGATGAATTCAGATCATCAGATTCAAAAGTCAACAATAACACAGGTTCATCATCAGACTCTCCTCTTGTTATATTTGCTTCTTATGACTTCCTTTCCTTGTTGGACCAACAATCTCTGGCATAGTGACCAAAGTTCTTGCAATAGTAACACTGAACATTCTTCTTGACAAACTTCTCCTTTCCCTTCTGGATATTCTTCTGCCTATCAGAATTTGAAGCTTATGACCTTTTACCACCATTAGTTTTCTTCCTGACTTATAACCAAGTCTGCTTCTAATGCTTCTTACCATAAGTTACTTTCAGAGCCTGCTGCTCTACTTCCCTCTCAAAAGTTCTTACAGTCATACGCAACTCATGCGCTTCTAGACTACTTTGCAGCTCTTCAACTCTCATGGTGCTCAGATCTTTAGAATGTTCAATTGCTACCACAATGTAATCAAATTGAGAAGTTAAAGATCTCAAGATCTTCTCAATAATTACTTGTTCAGGCAGAGTTTCTCCACAAGCTTTCATTTCATTAGTGATCAGAATCACTCTTTCAGAAACCTTCTCATTGTCCTTCATGTTGAGATTCTCATATTGCTTTTTGAGAGACTGAAGCTTCACCTTCTTCACTGACGTGTCACCACCGTAACATCTGACCAGTGTGTCCCATGCAGCCCTCGCTGTTTCAAAATCAACAATCTTCTCAAACACATCCGCATCCACGCATTGATGGATATAGAACAACGTCTTCTGATCTTTCTTCCTCAATGCCTTCTATGCTATCTTCTGTGCCTCTGTTGCATCTGCTTCTAACAGATCATAACCATCAGTGACAAGATCTAACACATCTTGAGTACCAAATAACACACGCATATAGATCTTCGAACGATTCTAGTTTTTGCCATCAAATACTGGAAGCTTGGAATGAATAACGTCGTCGTTTCCGTTCATCTTCAACCTTGTGCAATACGCAGAAACTTAATAAAAACAATATTTCCCAAATCCCAAAGTTTCTAACCAAGAGCTCTAATACCAATTGTTGGTGCACAAGGAAGATAAAAGACAAATAAATATATTTAGTGACAACTTTAAATAAGAATTTACAATGAATTACAATAACCTACTCTACTAGGCTATTTATATACAAAATTAAATCTAAAATATATCTTCTAACAAAGATATAAGAAGATCTAAGATATATATCTTCTAATAAAGATATAAAAATCTAAAAGATATTCCTAAATATAAATTAATATCTAATTAATTATAAAATCTAAATTAATTCTAACACAAAATACGCTCTCTATTTTAGTTATACGACCACACAATTTCATTTTAAATAAATTAATTTAGATTAAAATTTGACTGAATATAAATAATTTATATATAAGTAGCTTGAACACACAATAAAATTATTTTTAAAGTCAAAATTAATTATTTTTAAACACATAATGACATATAAAAGACCCTTTTGTTTCCATTTTTTAAAAATTATTTTCTATAATGTTATATATTTTAGTTTAAATTTTTTTACAAATTTTGAAATAAAAACTTGATTAGAATAATTATTTTTAAAATCTTATTTTAACTATTTTTAAATATCAAATTTATTAAAAATCACTTAATTTTAAAACTATTTTAAACAATTCTTTATAAAATTAATTTTAAGAAATATTTTTTTTTAAAATTTTACAATGCCAACTATATTTTAATCTTTATTAATATATATTTATGTTATATAATGCACTTAAGGAGACAAACCCAAAATTACAACTCTAAAATCAATTTTAACTCAATTTCAGAAATAGAAACAAACCCTCACCAAAAAGTAAAGAACCTTTCATCAATTATCCCATCCTATCGTGTTGATATTGTGACCATGTAAAAAACCAATAGTAGCTAAGCATTTACTTTTGGAAAAAAAAAACTATGCACATTATTTTTTATTAATAAACTAAAAACCTTAGTAAATGAATTAGGACCACCCTTGATTTGATGGTTTCTAATGTAGCTGATTGAGTGGTGTTCCAAACAAGCTACCGAAAAGACAAACGCTGGCAAATGTAAACAACCCTCTCATCTTTTCTTTGTTCTAACCGAACATGACAAATTGTACAGAACAGCATGTCACCGGTTACCTACTCACCCGGTTACTCATAAATATTACTATATCTATATTTTTTATTTTCTTCTAATTTTTTGACCAATTCTTAATGTTTATATAAATGGATTTTTGTTGCAGTATAAGCTAAGGTTCTTTAAATGAATGATGTTGACTTTGGTGACCACTTTCATAATGAAAAATGAAAGTAAAGAATGGTAGGAGCCTCTAATATAGTCACAAACTTACAATTAAATGGTCTTTATATATAGGTAACATTCTCTTAAGTAGTTTAGTTCTCAAAATTAAACTCTTTCAAGTGGAGTGTCACATGAACAAGAGTGTTTAATTTTTTAAAAGAGAATTTTGTTATTCATTGTAATTTTATTTAATTTAAAAAATTAATCTCTGCAATTATTTGTCAATAATATTCAATTCTTAAAAAAAAAACTATATATTTTAATAAAATAAATATTTTTGCAACTATAAAAGTTAATGTTACACTAAAGATGATCACAATGAATAATGACAAATTTCTCCCTTGTATTATTTTACAACATTGTCATGATGTTAACTCATAAAGTTAACTAAAAAAACTCATAAAGCTGTGAATTATTTATCGGTTAGGTTGAATCTAAGATAATGAATACTCAAAATCAAAAAAGTATATAGTACACCAATAATATTGTAGGAGTTGATCATAGAGCCTAGATGAGTAAAGAAAATGATAGAGGTCTTAGTGCTCATGTGCAGAACAGAAGTGGCAATCACGGATGTATGGGAGTAACAGGGAGATGTTCCCAAAATTATTCTAATCCATTATAATCAAATAGTTATTTTAATTTTACTAATAATTTTTTTTTAAAAACTTAAACAGAAACATAAATACGTCATGAAAAATGAAATATTTACATAATCCTAAAGAAACTTCCATTAAACATAAAATTTAACGTAAAGTATTTTTCAATGTAAGTCAAGTAACTGGTCAATGGTTCAAAAATAAAAAAAATCATAAAAAGGACTATTTGTTACCAAAAAAAATTGTCATAAAAATGACATTTGTTTAAAAACGTGAGAGTGTTTATTAACGGTCAATGTATTCAATAAAAAAAAGTTAAGTAAATTAAAGAATTGTTGTAATGTATAAAAGCATGTATGGTTACTGAAATATAAACTAAGAACACATATTAAACATGTTTTTAATTACGTACTAGTAAAAAAGATTATTTTAATAAATTATAAAAATGATTATAATTAAAAGTTATCAAATAGTTTATATTCTATTTACATAAAAATAAATTGATCGATATATTACAATATAATAATTACAGATCATAATTTTAAGTTAAAATGAATATGATGACAAAATCATTATTTTATTCAAGTGTGTTAAATATAAATAAATTTGTTATGTATAATTGATTTTAATTAAAAGTTAATATAAAATGATTTATTATATAAAATAAAAACGAATAAAATAAATTTAACTATAAAAATCATATTTAAATTCAAATTAAAATAATAAATTATAAAAACAATCAATTCTATTAAAAAACAATTAAATATATTAAAAACAATTTTATACATTCAAAATTAATTCTAAAAGCTTAAGACGAAATACCAAACATAAATTAGTTAAATATCATACTTTATTTTTTCTAAAACAAACTAGATATCATACTTTTATTGTTATGTTAATTTAATTCTCAAGTGAATTATTACATGTATATTTCATAAACAAAATCTCTTAAAAAAAGTTTAATATTATTATATCTTTTTGAAACATGTAATATTTAACTCTTAATATATTAAATATAATATTTTTCAATAAATATTTGTTTTCTTTTTAAAAAATAGTTGAACCTACATGATTAATAAACTTCAATTATTTAAAAAACTCTACTTTAAGCTTTATTAACATGTTAATCTAAATTCAAAATTAATAAATAAATATTAACATATACCACGAGCCCACATATTAAGAAACTAAATCTAAAACATTTGTCAAAACCATCAAACATTTAATTTTTTCAAACTAAAAATACACTTTTCCGTAAAAAAAATTCCAATTTTAAATTTCTTTACATATACAAACAAGTTATATTTATTTTGGTTGATTCTTCAATTAATGCATTCAAACAATAAAATTAAAAATAAAAAAAGTAGATAAATTTTAAATTTTTGAATTAACACAAAAAAAAACAGACACATCCATATAAAACAACAATTTATGTTTGTTTAGGTAACATCCTTAATTTACTTACATCTACAAACTCTAAAACATTGATGACATGTCGCATTCTCATTCGTCAGTTACTTCACAAGACTTCAACATGACTATATCACACCCAGCGTTGTTTCTCTCTCTACCCTTGTCTTGTTTCTCTCTCTACCCCAAACAAACCCTCTCTCTCTCTCTCTCTCTCTCTCTCTCTCTCTCTCTCTCTCTCTCTCTCTATGTGCTAGAAGTAGGTGAAAAGCAAGGAACCCTTGTTTCTTTTTTATCTTCATTTGTTTTTTCACATTAACGCAACCACTGTTCCTTCTTCATCTCACCTAATCTAACAATCGAGAACAAAAAATCATATAGAAAGTGACAGGAAATTCTACCCCAGAAGGGAAGGGTTACACCCTTGTGTGTTTTACTCTAAAGGGTATCATCAAGTTGGGATTTTTTTGGAAGTGACGGCTGAATCTGATGTCACCATTGAGTAGTGAGTGGTGAAAGGTGGTGTTTTTTTGGTTAGATCTTAGTGATTTTGGTTTTGTTGATGTTGGTGTTGGAGTTTGTTCTTGGATCTTTCTGATGGGTTGATTCATTAGGGAAGTTGAGATTTCTGGGGTTGATGGTTCTTGGAAGGAGTGGCAATGGCAATGTTGGGTTATCAGTGATTTTGTTCCTGTGTGTTTGGAAATGTCTGCTTCTTTAGCAGCTTTTGAGAGACCTAGACCCGGGGCTTCTAATACGGTATGTTTTTCTTTTGGAGGGAATTTATCAGATTCAACGTTTTACCTTTGATAAATGAGTTCTATTTTGAGATGATTGGAATTTCAGTTTGAGAATGAAGTTATGAACTTATGATTATTCAAGGGCTTGTTGATTTTTATACTGAATTAGGAGCATTTGATTTGATTCATGAATTGGTTAGTTATGGAAGTTGAGTAGGGTTTGAGGTTTTGATTTCATTGTTAAATGTTGAGGCTGGACGAGGAACTGTGTGTTTAGTTTGTTTAGAATTAGGATTTTAATTGCATAAGAAGCTATGAATTGACTTAGCATATGTTACGTTTGGTGTTTTAGTCTCCAATCTCATGTCTCGGACACTTTCATATTCTCACCGAGGTTTAATTGAAGCTTGAAAACTAAGCTTCGTGTCTATGCAATTTTTTGTTGTGATTTTGGTGAATGCCCCCGAAGAATTAACCATATGCGGCTATACAGATTTTGAATGATTTGTAATCTTTGTATATCCTTTTTTTCCTCGAATGGTTCAACTAGTATTTGCTAAAGGATGAAATCGTCTTTTTCTGTTTTATATTTTCCTCATATGGTGCAATCAGAATCGTTTGACTCGGTTAATTTTCTTATACACATTACTATTTTGCAGGTTTTTAAAAGTGGCCCACTTTTCATATCTTCCAAAGGTTTGTATTCCTATCTCATTCTCAGCATTTCTTTTTTACAAGGTTTTAAATCATGGTCTTTTGTTGTGGTCGTGTCCCTAGCTTTGTTTATGCACTATAGGAATCACGATCAAATGCAACTAATGTGGCCGAATTTGTGATCATGTGGAGGCTTCAAACGCCTAGATGTCACGGCCACAATTATGGTCGATAACCATTTATTAGAACCTGATTCTGATTGATTGTTTCCATAAGCAGCGAGAGTAGAGAGCAGATACATGTTTTCTGTCAATGTTATATAATATAGGAATTCATCAATTCTTTCCTATTTTGTAGGAATAGGTTGGAAGTCCTGGAAGAAGAGGTGGTTCATACTCACGCGCACATCATTGGTTTTCTTCAAAAATGACCCTGTTAGTATCCCTCGGATCTTTCCCACCATTCTTAAGATATTTTCTTCGGTATTTTTTCTCTTATGTTGTTCTGTATTTTGCAACTCTCTAATTAAACGAGAAAAGCGTACAGTGATAAGTGATTGGTTAAGCTTACTGGATATATGAACATTTTATGGAGATACTTGGTAATGATTTGTCTTTGAAAACTAATAGAGTTAGGGCCGTCTTTGAGGGCGTGCAACGTGGGCTACCGTCCAGAGCCCTAAAATTTTCATGGTTAAATCGTGGCTAAGTAGGGCCTCATAGAAAAAATTTCACGGTTAAACTGTGGTAAAATAGGGCCCCTATTTGTTTTGTCACGGTTGAACCATAGTTAACCTAAATAGGGTCTCCAAAAACTTAAGACGGTTCTACATAGAGTGTAGACTTTTACTCAAATACATGTGATTACTTTTGCTAATAACTATGACTGAATTTTCATTGATTGATTATGTAGAGTGCTCTTCCTCAGAGAGGCGGGGAAGTAAACCTGACTTTGGGCGGTATTGACCTAAACAACTCAGGGAGGTATGTCCGGTGAAGTGTATTTTTCGCCGTGGTTTTAAATTTTGACGATCCATTTTAAAATTTGTGAATTTTTGTTTTTCAGTGTTGTTGTTAGAGAAGACAAAAAGCTGCTAACAGTATTATTTCCAGATGGGCGCGACGGTCGAGCGTTCACCCTTAAGGTGATTCGTTTACTATTAAAATTTTAAGTAGATGGATAAGAATTCAATTTACACTACTTGAAAATGGCATGTTAATTGTTGAGATGTTTAACCTAACTGTTTTTTAAAGGCGGAGACATCGGAAGACTTGTTCGAATGGAAAACAGCTCTTGAACAAGCCCTTGCACAAGCACCAAGTGCTGCCCTTGTTATGGGACACAACGGGATTTTCAGGAACGAGACAACTGATTCTATCGAAGGGTCTTTCAATCAATGTTCGTTCTTGTTTTTAATTGTATCTTTGCTATGTGTTAATAATGTTGTTGTTTTTGTTATTTTGGTTTGAGTTTTTGCGGTTAACAATAAATGCATTTCTTATTGTGCTTACAGGGAGAGATAAGCGTCCAGTTAAGTCTTTGGTTGTTGGAAGACCGATTCTGCTAGCACTCGAAGATATTGATGGAGGGCCGTCTTTCCTTGAAAAAGCTCTTCGTTTTCTAGAGAAGTATGGTAAGTTGTGATATTGTAGGAAGTGGTGTTTTTGCATTTCATTTCACTTTTTGTCATTCATTCATGATTTGAATTTAGTACTTACTGGTAAAGTTTATTTCTTCTGGAAGAAAGAAACCTTATCGGCTACTAGACATGATTAATAGAAAAGAATCTAATGTGGGGTTAGAAATATTTAAGAATAAATCTTAGAATTTGTGTAGGGTCTAACTCAACCTGACAAAATCGCTTGTCATGTGTGGATTGCATCCTCTTATAAACATACGTATACAGTATAAACCATCTCTCTTCCAATGTGAAACTCTTAACACACACCCCTCACGCCTTGAACTGTGACATATGGAATGTGATCCAAGTGGTCCAATTGTGGAAGCTTGATAGTATGTGGACTAACAAATCCTGGATAGACTCTGATACCATCTTTGAATTTGGGCTGGCCTAATTCAATCCTACAAAATCGGTTTGTTAGGTGAGGATTACCCTCACTTATAAACATCTGTTCCGTCCATCTCTCATCCAAGTGGGACTCTTCACAATAAATACATAAACGTTTTAAAAATATCTTAGCAATAAACTCAACTAAAAGATAATAAAATGAAGTAATAATGACTTATATATTTAATTAAGGTCTTACACATAAAATTGTAAAGTACAAAAAGTGTTAAATAACCGCTGAATAAGTTTCAGTTTTAAAACCGGGCCCAAGTATTTGTTTTAGGCACATTAAACATGAAATATTTATAAGAAAACCATTTACATGCACTTTCATATTCATACCATGCTGTTGAGACATGCTTCAGTGCATGAACACTGTTAAATGAATGAAACACGTTTTTGCAGGAACTAAAGTTGAAGGAATATTGCGGCAGGCTGCAGACGTTGAGGAAGTAGATCGAAGAGTTCAAGAATACGAGCAAGGTACTAAAAGTTTTCTTAAATGCCCTAAGCATTATGAAATTTACAAATGCCTTATTTTTTCTACTGATATTACCAGGTAAGGTTGAGTTTGATGCCGTGGAGGATGCACATGTTGTTGGTGACTGCGTTAAGGTATCCATGCTAGTTTTGTTAATAGTAAAGGTTATTCTTAACAACTTTTTCCCTATCAAAAGTAAGAAAAAAATTCTCTTTATTTAATGACTTTCTGCATGGTCAATTTACAGCATGTTCTAAGGGAGCTTCCCTCCTCTCCAGTTCCAGCTTCATGCTGTACTGCTTTGTTGGAGGCTTATAGTAAGTTTAGCTGTGTTTATTTTGTCTATAACCATATATACTTTTAAGAATAAATTGTGTATGTTATTGTTGCGTAGTTCTGATGATTGCTATGTTAGTATTGGTTTTTGGTCGATCTTAGGATTTGTAAGTTACTGTTTAGAACTCCTGCATTTGACGTGATTTTGCTTAAAAATGACGAGTTAGTCCCATTCAAAATTTAAGATGGTATCAGAGTCTATCCAAAATTCGTTGAGTCACTTGTTATTAGACCATCATGTCACACAACCTAACATGATTATGCCATATGTTAACAAAAAACTTATCTCGACACAACCTAGATTTGGTTATATGCCGAGTGTTAACAAAAAACTTATCTTGACACAACCTAGATTTGGTTATAGGACCATAATTCTGCATCTTTTTACGTGGCTTGTGCAAACCTGACTGATGTTGACATGGTGCTTTTGTTATTTTTCATTCACAAACTTTCAGTTGTCAAGTTTTGTCGTACCGTTCTAGACCTCTATTACTTTGCATGTGAATCTATGCTGATGGAAGTTCTTATCACTGTTACTCTTTTCCTTTTGCAAGAAATCGATCGCAAGGAAGCTAGGATTAATGCAATGCGCTGTGCTATATTGGAGACCTTTCCAGAGCCAAATCGACGTTTGTTACAAAGGTCATCTCTCTCTCAATTTTTCATCTTTATGCAAACTTTACCTAGTTACCTGTTACGGTATTATCTATAAATTTTCTCCTTAATCTAATTATTGTCATCTCTACCTTAACAGAATTTTGAAGATGATGCACACAATTGCTTCACATTCTAACGAGAATAGGATGACTGCTTCCGCTGTTGCTGCTTGCATGGCACCCTTGCTCTTACGGCCTCTCTTAGCCGGAGAATGTGAGCTGGAGGATGAATTTGATGGTAGTGGTGATAGTTCGGCTCAGCTTCTAGCTGCCGCCAATGCTGCAAATAACGCTCAAGCGATTATTACCACTTTGTTGGAGGAGTACGAGAATGTATTTGACGTAAGAAACTTTCTTTTGATTAATTACTTTCTGGTTCGTGTATGATTTATATTCATTTCTGGAACTTAATTTCTATTTGCTGGTTCAGGAAGAAAATATACAGAGATGTTCCATTTCAGCCGATTCTCGGGTTGAAAACAGCGGGACTGAAGACTCGACCGATGACGATAATATAGATAATAAAGAAAATGGTTACCATGATGCAGAGAATGAAAACGATCAAGAGACAGATGATGATGCCGATCGTGTTCACAGTGGAAAATTGAGCGAAAGTAGTGGTTATGCCGGCAGCGATCTTTATGATTACAAGGTTGTCCAATGCGACGCTATCCTAGTTCATCGCTTATATATGTAATAAAAGATAAAATAAACTTAAACCGTTTTCCTAATTTTTTTTTTGTCTTTGCAGCAGGCATATGGAGGAGATGATTCCGACGTTGGATCCTCGACTAGTAATCACGCGAAGGCGGGAAATTCAAATCGGATTGCTGTTCCTGATATCCATCTGTCTGAGGATAAAAGCAAGCAAAGAAAAGGGAATGAGAATTCAATTGATGAGAAGGATGTGCCAATTGTGTTGCCTTCGACAGAATCGTATCGTTCCATGGGTGAGATTTTATCTTCAATGGACCCCGGCAACCATTTGCCTGTGCCTGGTATAGAACCGGGTTCTGGAAAGCAAACTGGTAAAGCTAGTAGTGGCACAAGCTTTAGCTCTAAACGGTCAACCTTCTGGGGAAGAAGCAATGTGAGTGTTATTTTTCGACCATTTCCTCACATCAATGTCAATAGTATATCAATATAAAGTAATTTTGGTATCTGATAGTTTTTCTAATTAAAACAGCCGAGGAAGTCACCGTCAGTGGAGTCGGTTGACTCTTCTGGAGAAGAGGAGTAAGATTCTTAGCTTTGAACTCTTGTTTTCCTTAGTAGAATGTGATTCTTGATAGAGTTCCGAACTATTCTTGGATAGCCCTTTGCATTGCATTGCATTGCATTATTCGATTTTCCCTTGAGAAGGTTTAAACGTAATACTTGTGTTGTTTACAGGCTTGCTATTCAAAGGCTAGAGATTGCGAAAAATGATTTGCAACATAGGATCGCAAAGGAGGTAATTTATTTACTAGCTTATTTCATGTCATATATCACATAATGTTGATGTTTTGCCTTTAATGGAGTTTTTCTTGTTTTCAATTTAGGCTAGAGGCAATGCGATTTTACAAGCAAGCTTAGAGAGAAGGAAACAAGCTTTGCACGAGCGGCGCTTAGCACTTGAACAAGATGTACTTTTTCTACCGTTTCCCCGATATTTATTGTGACAATTATTTGTATCTGATACTCGTTTCTTTCCTAAAGGTTTCAAGGTTGCAAGAACAGTTGCAAGCTGAGAGGGATCTTAGAGCTGCTTTGGAAGTTGGTTTGAGCATGTCTTCAGGACAAATTTCAAATTCACGCGGAATGGATTCCAAGGTCTTTTATTCTCATGTTTTTTCCGCTTTCTTTTGATTGCTTTCGGTAATTAATACGTATAATCTTACAAAATCTAATTATGTAAAAGACAAAGGCTGAGCTAGAGGAGATTGCACTTGCTGAAGCTGATGTGGCTAGGTTGAAACAAAAGGTTGCGGAACTTCACCATCAACTTAGTCAGCAAAGACAGCATCACTACGGTTCACTTACTGATGTAGGTGGTGATCGATACCAGCATGCACAAAATCTTCCTCAGCCGTGAGTATGCAGAGATATACGATCTTTAAGCACTTGCTGGAAAAAAGTGATTGTTGAAAAACTTGTGAGCTAATGTAAGTTTATCTGTCTTATGCAGGAGATTTCTTCAGCAAGATTTTGATTCAACCCTTGCTTATTGTAATCATGAAAGGAAACAAAGAACCGAGGTATATCTTATAGTTTGTTTCTTGAAACAAAAATTGAAATAATTCAAAATGTGATAAAATTAGTCCATAATCTTTATGGTTTTGAGGATTCTTGGTTCGATAACACAGGCAAAATTTGGCTTTATATTTCAACAGGAGAGTGTGTTGGGAAATGATTGGAGAAATATCAAAGGACAAGTATTGGCTTCTGGTAATGGTACTAGACAGCCATCTCGGAAGCCGTTCATAGACTCGAGTCCTAGTGATTCGAAAAGCACGGAGGCATCGACAAGCATGTCCATAGATGAACTCGGTGTTGTTGATTCCGGCTCAGTGCCTTCTACTTCAAGGGCAGCAGAGGTAAGAATTAAGTTCAAGGATTGTGCCTTAAAATCTATTACACCCTTTTGTCATAGCCAATGTTATCAAATAGCTGCTATAGCGCAACAGAAGTTGAACGGTCATAACCGAGTTTCTTCTGTGTTATCATGCGCAACAGAAGTTGAACGGTCATAACCGAGTTTCTTCTGTGTTATCATGCGCAACAGAAGTTGAACGGTCATAACCGAGTTTCTTCTGTGTTATCATGCGCAACAGAAGTTGAACGGTCATAACTGTGTTATCATGCGCAACAGAAGTTGAACGGTCATAACTGTGTTATCATCGGTAACTATTAGGAACTAACATAGTAGCAATCATTGGTTTCAGGTGACAGATTACGGAAGACATCCATCTGTAGCATCTTCAACATTAGTAGAGCTAACAACCCGTCTCGATTTTTTCAAGGAAAGGCGATCGCAGTTGATGGAACAGCTTCACAACCTTGATTTAAACTATGGTTCTACAACTTCACAAGACATGGTCTACAAACCAACATCACCATCATGGAGTTGACTGGCCAAATAGCAACCTTCATAATAATTCCTTGGTGAAGAATTTTGTATATCCTTCGACTCATTGCATATATTATCAGTATCCTTATCCTTTGTGGTCTCAATGCACTGCTTCATTCTCTTTGTTCTCATTAAATTTATTTTCCTTCTCTTTTGGTAGTTTAAGGTTGTTGGAATTGAAATGAGAAGATTTTCTTTTGGTCACAAATTTTTTTTCTTGGTTTTTTTAGGGGGAGGAGGTGGAGTTTGTGGTGTAAATTAGATGTTATGTTTATAAATAGATGGGATAATTTTGGTGTTGAACAAAACAACTTCAATGAGGAAATATTAGTAATGTTTTGGTATATTCTTTGTATGCTATTGCTAGTAATGCCAATCTGTATGGAAATGATTCTAATGTTATATGAGTGCTTTTTATAAATTAAAACATTTCATAATTTTTTATTATTAGATATATAGAATTATCAATGATAAAATTATTTATTTTATGATTAATTAACACTGTTCTGGACTGGGTCCACCTTGGCCCAAAGTGCAAATAAAGGTCCAGATTCAAGCAGCTTCTCGGGGAGTGCGCACAAGCGGACCATCACCGAACATGCCCGACCACAAACTACAGCTGCAATGCCCGCCGTTGCCCACAACGAGCAGCGTCCCCGACTTGGGAAACTCTAGCTTGAGTCTGGCTCGAATGCCTCCCTGTAGGGTAGATTCTGTCCACTCTAACCGTTATGGGATCTTTAAAGTTCTGGAAAGACTGCGTCTTCGTTCTTCCTCATTCTTCGCAGAGCACCATCCAGGAAGGGGACCACGTGCGGACCCTCACTACACGCGTAGAACCTGGCAGTCCCTTTATTGGGGCAGTTCTAGTCGGCCCAATGAAAGGACCTTGGCCCAGCGCTGGGGGCTATAAATACCCTCTACTTCAAGAGGGTCAGGTATTCATTCATTACACACCTACGTATTTTTGCCTGCTCATTCTGTCTCTCATTTTATCATCAGAGTGTCTTGCAGGTACCCTCCCACTCCATCCAAATTCATTTCGAGCCAGCTGTGACGGTCCAAGTCTGATCCGGTAAGATCAGTGACGCCGTCTGTGGGAATCTAAGCTTCCCCGTCTTACAAACTTTCAAAGACCAAAGCTAAAAATCACCTTCCACCGTCATGGCTGACCAAATTCGGGACGACCAGAACATCCGCGTCGTCGATGCCAACAACAACCCCGCGGACAAGAACAGAGCCCCCGACAATGCCGGCAACACCGACCATAATATATTCCCCGGGGGCGTCACCCCCGGGCCCTTAGGCCGTCGGGACGGAGCCACTGCCTCATCTTCTTCAGTCCCCCCTCCGCTCGAAGAAGACAATACAACTCCCCCAAACCATCTAGACACCCAATTCCAGGAGGTCCCTGTCCCCGCCGGGGCAGACGCCACGACCAGAGCACTATTCGCGGCAATCAACCAGACCAATTACCTCATCTTTGCCCAGGGAGAAAGACTGAGGGCGCTAGAGGACGACAAAAGACCCTCGAGGAGACACAGGAGGCCTCAGACCCCGCCTCCTCGAAGAACAGAGGTACGTCTCCCGTCTCCCCCGCGGAGACAATACAGAGACACCTCCCGAAGCCCGTCACCCCGACAACCGGGGAGACGACCCCCCTTGGAGAGGGAACCAATCATCGAAGCCGGAGGGCGCAACCACGACCCTTTACAGCAAGAACGAGGACACCCTGGAGACAGACACAGAAGGACAGATCAACGAGCGCACCACTCGAGGGACGTCCAACACGACCATGACCGTCGTGCCCGACAGTACCTCAGGTCCCCGTCCCTTTCCCCAGAGCGAAGTGACGAGGACGACCCCCGCGGTCCCCTGTCACAAGCCATCATGGAGGCACCTATTCCCCCGGGCATGGAGAAGCCCCCTCACCTGAAGGAATATGACGGAGTCGCCGACCCGGTCAATCATATAGACGGGTTCGAAGCTATGCTGCACTACCATAACGTTGGGGGACCCATCAAATGTCGGTTGTTCCCCACAACCCTTAGGAAAGCAGCAATGGATTGGTACAAGGGTCTTGCCCCGAGGTCTATCACCTCGTGGCGAAACTTGAAAAACCAATTCATAAGCTCATTCACCGCGTCACGGAGACATCCAAAGACCGAAGCGGCGCTCGAGGCTATCGTCCAGAGGCAGGATGAAACCTTGAGAGAATTCATCAACCGCTTCAACCGTGAAGCCATCCAGGTCCCATGCGCTGACCACATGAAAAGATACTTGCTGGAGAGGGGACTCCTCCCCGGCACAGAGTTCAGAAAAGCAGTGGGCATCAAACCGCCCCGGACGTTCGATGCTCTCCTCGAGAAGGCCAGGGCCTACATGGACTACGAGGAAAGGGAAGCGGCCAATAGAGCCCGTGACCCCAGAAATCGCGGATCCAGCAGCAACCCGCGCCAAGAAGCCATTCCTCCTCGACGGACCGGGGAGAAAAGAAAAGACGACAAACCCCGAGAAGTCCGAGAACATAGAGGACCCTCGGGGCGTTTCACAGAGTACACTCCGCTCACGGCTTCCCGCGAGCGCATCTTGGCGGAGTGTGCTAGTATAAATTTTAAGGATGGTGGCGTCAAGCGCCCCCGACCAGCTCCTGCCAAGCCCGGGGTAGACAGGAGCAAATACTGTCAGTACCATAGGAGCCATGGTCATCTGACGGAGGACTGCGTCCACCTTAAGGACGCCATCGAGACCCTCATAAAAGGGGGAGGCTCGCCCAGTATCGGTGAAACGACGCTCCTCGTCGCGACGCCCGTGAGACAAGAGAAGCAGAGGAAGATGCCCGACCATCTGACGAGTCGGTCCCCATCTAGACCGCCTTCTCCGTCACCAGACTCGAGGACTTTTACGTCCCCGAACACTTGCAAGAGCCGCTGTCGACGCACAGCAGATGGGAGCACTTTCCCTCCGCCATGGTCATCAATGGTGGGGGGTTCAACAACCTGACCATAAATTCAGCCAAGAGGAAGTTGGATGAATTGGTCGACTCTGCGCCTCCTCAGACGGCGACCTTTGAAAGGGTGAAAGGTAGATCGGAGCCTATCACCTTTTACCTCGAAGAGCTTCCCGGAGGGGCCCCCAACGCGGTCATTCCTCTGCTAATAAGAGCGAGAATGGATAACTTTGACGTACACCGTGTCCTCATCGACGAAGGAAGTTTCGTCGACGTAATGTGCAGTCAACTATTCCGGACCCTACAACTCGACGACTCGCACCTCTCACCTTATGTGGGATCAGACCTGCAGGGCTTCAACGGCTCGACCTCCAAACCTTGGGGATACGTCGAGCTCATGGTTACCTTTGGCGAGGACACGACGACCAGGCAGGTCAAGGTACGCTTCCTCGTCATCGACTGCCCGTCCCTATACAACTGCATTTTGGGAAGGCCAACATTGGCAGAACTGACCGCGGTACCATCTACCGTCCACTTGAAGATGAAGTTTTACACCAAGAGGGCACAGGTCGCCACCATCCAAGGTGACCTAGCAGCTGCCCGAAGATGTTTCAACGCGACATCCAAGGGACGCGACACGGTCGACACCGGGACGAGACCCGCCAAGAGACCAGTGACGACACGACCAGAGCCCGAGAAGATAGAGTCCGTCAAGGCAGAAGAGCAGAGAGCTCCCCCAAAGGTCGACTCCATAGCCTTGGACACCCGCTTCGACCAAGATGAGCCTCCCAGCGGCGAGCAAGCCCCCCTCCGACCAATTCCGGACGGAGACTTCGAGCTCGTCCCTCTCAGCGAGGACGCGAGCAAAGGAGTGAAGATCGGTACCGGCCTCCCCGACCTGGCGAGGAAGCAGATCAAAGCCTGCTTGCGCGAGAATGCTGACCTATTCGCGTGGAGCGCTGCAGAGATGCCCGGACTCGACCCCGAGGTCGCCTGTCACCCGCCTCTCCATAGATCCAGCCGCTAGGGCAGTAGTACAACGTAGACGTAGGCAGTCCCCAGAGAAAACGGAGGCTGTTGAAAAAGCTGTAAAAGACTTCTTAGAGGCAAATTTTATTTCTGAAGCCCGGTATTCAACCTGACTGTCAAATGTTGTACTAGTAAAAAAGAATAATGGAAAATGGCGAATGTGTGTTGATTATACTGATCTCAATCGGGCATGCCCGAAAGATGCATTTCCTTTACCAAACATAGACATGTTGGTCGACAACTCGGCCGATTATAAAATACTGTCGTTCATGGATGCCTATTCAGGTTATAACCAAATCCCAATGGCCGTGAGCGACAAGCATTGCACTTCTTTCATGACCAGCTCGGGCAACTATTACTACAACGTAATGCCCTTTGGTCTAAAAAACGCAGGGGCAACATACCAACGTATGATGAACAAAGTGTTCCACGACCAAATCGGGGACATGCTCGAGGTGTATATGGACGACATGATCGTCAAATCCCGAGCAGATACCGACCATGCAGCTCACCTCAAAGAAGTCTTTGCTCAAGCAAGACAATGTAAGATGAGATTCAACCCCGAGAAGTGCACATTCAGGGTCAAAGCAGGGAAATTCCTCGGTTTTTACTTGACAAAACGAGGAATCGAAGCTAACCCCGACAAGTGTCGAGCCTTCTCCGACCTCCCGACACCCACGTCGAAAAAATCCATACAAGTCATGAACGACATGCTCACCTCGCTATCCCGCTTCGTCGCGAGATTCGCCCAGCACGCCCTCCCCTTCTTCAAACTCCTTCGCAAAGAGGTAGCCTTCGAATGGACCGAGGAATGTGAACAGGCGTTGCGCCACCTAAAATAAAGCTTGTCCCAACCGCCCGTTCTATCCCGGCCCGCCACCGGGGAACCATTGTTCATATACCTGGCGGTCTCGGACGAAGCTGTCAGCGCGACTCTCATTCGCGAGACGCCCGACGGACAAAAACCCGTCTACTTTACGAGCAAAGCACTGCAAGGGCCTGAGGTCAGATACCAACAGATA